CTTTGCGTCATATAAAAATGATTGCAACCACTGGTTGCAACCACCTTTACAACCATTTTGTTTCCTTTTTTGGATTGTGACATGAAACACTATACTTGTAAGAAAAAATCTTCAGCTTTCTTTTGATATAATTTTTTTCAAAATATCTTTCCTAAAGCTTCAAAAAAATACCATCAGTTGTAAAAAATATTTTTTCTTTGTATTTTCAACATTACACATACTATTTACAAGCTTTTATATATGTATACAACTTTAAAACAATATAAACTTTGTTTTATTTGCTTGTTGGTAATCCATTTTTTGTATTTAAAGACTAAATTTTGCCCCAAGAGAGCTAATTTAGTGATTTGGTTTCATTTCTCTGGTAATCTCAGGAATTTGGTTTTCTTTATTAATATTAATAAAAATATCACAACATTGTTGGAGAAAGAAATAAAATAATTTATCCTTTTAAAACTTTTATTGAAAATGATGTTTAATTAATGGTAAAAACATAGATTGAATTCTTTATTACGAAGCAGAATGCATAATTATAAATGCTACACATATATTTTTTTCAGTAACATTCCTTTACATAAAATACATAATAATAATAATATCCTTTTTTCCTACATGTAAATTTAATGACCAATCTTTAAAAGTATTAAATATGCACATGAAGTATACCTATTATTTTATATATACACCGCCTTGTTTTTCTCTGTCATCTTTGAAATAATAATAAAAATAAATATACTTTTAATAATAGTTTATATGTATGTATGTATGTGTGTGTATATATATAGTATTATATAATGGATGACAATTCATGATCAAAGGTAAAATGTTGATTTGATGAAGTCAATGAAAAGTTGAAAAGTAAATAATATATTAGACTTTATAACAAAAAACCAAGCCTATGTATTAAAACATTCAATAAAGAAATACTATATTAATTTTTTTATTTATTATAAACATTTTATTTTTATCAATTTGGAACTAAATTTCCTTCCCTCCGATATTAATATTGGTTTTTCAAATTTGCATAACGATCTTCAAACCAATAAAATTTAATTTTTGCGTGATATCTGGAAGGGAGATCGTCACATAGTTTAGCCAATGAAATCAAATGTCCACTATGCTCGATTGATGAATGTGGTCTTGAAAGTGATGAAAATTTTATGTATTGTAAATTATTAAATAATGATGATTTAATTTTATTGTCAAACAATTACATCTACATTTTATCATTTAGCAACAAGAATTCCAAAATAAAGCACATTAAATCAGATATTGAGAAGGTTAAAGATTATTTATTTGATTTCAAAATATGCTTTTATTATATGGATCATTTATATATTGATAAGCATCAGATTTCTAGACAGCCTTTTAGAGAAATGTTAGATAGTATGCTCAATGAGTTTCATTATTTCAACAAATTTGGAAAAGAAATGTTAAAGACAGCATTAGGTGGTAATAACAGTATTCTAGTAGAAAAAGTATTTGATTCTTGTCTTGGTCATTTTATAAAAAATACTGATTTAAATATTAGTTTATTAAAAATAATTATATTAGAATTACCAAGATTAGAAAAAAATCATCATAATTTAATATCAAAATTCTTTAGTCAGACTTCAATGATATTATTTCCATTTGTGAGACATTCTTACAATTGGGAAACTTTTTACATTGCTATAGATATTAAAGGATCAGTTTATAATAGCTTTTGGGAATTTTATTATAAACATAATTATATTAGAAAATTTATAAATAAAAAATTAAACAAATCCAAAAAACCAGGTGTAAAATTGATCATTCCATACCCTGGATTACTTACAACAATAAGTATTCATTTTGGCAAGAACTATTGTATAAGCCAGCAAACAGCAAATTTATTGAATTAGATACTTTAGAATTGTATAAACATCAGAATGGAAAGGTAATTTTGGGTTTCAAGTGGAATAATTTTGGATTCAAATATTACTTGGGGATTTGGATCTTTTATGCAACATTTTTATTATGCTTTGCAATTGCAACCTCTACTTCACCAAATCAATTATCTGATGAAAATAGAAATTCATTATTAATTATTACAATTATCCTTGGGTTGTTTCATCTTAATTTTGAAGTGAGACAATTTATTTGGGACCAGGGGAAATATGTCACTGGATTCTGGAATTATTTGGGTATGGCATTATTATTATTATTATTATTATTATTATTATTAGCTAATTAATTAATTAAAATTGATAATTTAATAATGATTATGATTTATTTAATAGACATTGGAGCATATTTCTTACCAGTCATCACTTCAATTTTATGGTTGTATTATGATAGTTCACCAGCTATTGAGTTGGTTTCAGTATCAAATTTGTTATTGGATCTGAAATTTATTTTGTTTTTAAGAGCATTTACATACTTTGGAAGATATTTTGCAATCATTTTGGGAGTTGCTAGAAATGTTTTCTCATTTTTAATAATATTATTTATAATCATTTTAAGCTTTTCACATGCATTTTTCATTTTATTAAAACCAATTCAGGAGGATTATACACTGGACAGTCCTGATTTCAAAGATAATGATCCCAATAATCCTTGGAATCTTGCTTCTAAATATTTTACATATTTTACAAATGACAAATCATATAACCAGAATTCAATTATTATACAACAACCAGACAGCAATACAAATATGTTTGCACATTTTCATTCCTCAATGCTGGCAATGTATAATTTCCTTACAGGTAAAATTCTATATTAATATGATTTTAAATCAATATGCTCACTAAAATATTAATATTATTTTTAATAGGTGATAGTGGAGCATTTGTATCTTGGCAGTTACAAGATGAACCATATCTGGCAATATTATTTATTGCATTTTCATTTGTTGTTGTGATATATTTAATGAATTTATTCATTGGTCTTCTTAGCAATCAAATTGAAAAATATAATATAGATGAAGCATTTTTGGCTCAAAAGGCAAAAATCATAAAAGAGATTGAATTATTTTATTTACTTCCTAATCAACGTCGTTGGAGAAAATGGTTTCCTGATTTATTGTAATTATGTTTATTTTTTTTATTTTTTTTTTTGATAAATAATTTAATTTGATAACTTGATAGATCTTATGATGTGCCAGTTGAAGATATTCGAAGAAGAATCAGAGAAATTGATAGTAGTCAAGAAGATCCAGAATTTCTTCCATTTATCTCTGAGGAACTTAGAAAATTGGCAGATGTGCCCAAGCCAGAAAAGAAAATTGAAAATCTTAAAAATGATCTCCTCAAGGAAAACAAAATGAATCATGAAAATCTTAAAAATGATCTCAAGGGAATTGAAAACAAATTAAATCATAATAATGAACAGATGTTGCAAACATTATTGGCTGAGATTAAAAATTTAAAAAAATAATTGTTTTTTATTACTACCTTAATTCAATTAATTCAACCCAGTCTGTTTTTATTTTTATAATAAAATTCTAGATTCTGATTGGATAAATATACAAACTTGGGATTAAATTAATTTTTCAAGTGAACTTAATAATAAATATTTTATTACAATTTTTGATGATATTCCCACAAAATTTTTAAATTGGTCTTTTTCTAAATTCCGTAATTTTTTGTCGATTTTGCAAATTAATTTGTTTGGTTTTCCGCTCCCCAATTTTTTTTTGTTCGGAAAAAGGTTCGAATAAAAAATATGTTGATTGTTGATCATCTATTGAATTGGGATGATTCGTAATAATAAAGATTTTATATAATAACTCATGTGATTTGGGTAGAATTAATTGCTTTTTTTATCATCATGATTAATATTACTTTTTTTCCAATTGTTAATTTTTTGAGGAATATATACTTGGAACAAAACAAACTATGAATTAATAAAAAAATTATTTTTTATTGGGTAAAATAAAAAAAATACGCGACTGATAAACCAAACAAAATCCCGAAAAACAATTGTTTACACAGCTGCGCAACCAAAATTATATTAATATTAATATTGTAATTGGGTAAAATAAAAAAATACGTCAAAATCCGAAAAACGTTTTTTTCAAAGCTGCGCAACCAAAATTATTACTTTTTTTATTGGGTAAAATAAATAAAAATACGTCAATATCCGAAAAACGGGTTTTAAATTATACGGATAACGTTATATGATAACGAGAAGTTACTATTAAAGTATTAAAGTGAGAGTTCGTTGGTAAGCTGTTTTAACATGACATCTGAAATGGAACGATAGGTGTGATTACCAAAGTTACAGATGATGATAATGTAGAAAATACTTTTCCAACTAATGGTAACATTATTAAAATGAACGTTCAAAAAATCACTATAAATTTTGAAATAAACAGTACACATGCCTCGAGGTTTCAATTCCCATTTCAGAACGCATTTGCCTTGACACAAGACCCAAGGTGTGACATTGCCACATGCGATTCTAACGATTGATGAAAATATGTTTGCCCCAGGTCAGATCTATGTGACAATGAGCAGAGCTCCTTCTTGGAACCAGTTGGATATCTTTTCATTTGATTTTGATTGCCTGAAGGTGGATAAAGATGTTGTGACTGAATACAGAAGATTAAACACCAAAACGGTCTAAAAAATATTATTAACGAATGAATTAATTGATTAAAAAAAAAATTTTTTTTGATGTAACGTGCTCATTTTGCATCCGAAATTTTAATCTTGTTGAAATGTGGTTTTGAAATAAAAAAAGTTTATGTTACGTTGTGCAATTAAATTAATTTTGTTTGGAGAATGGCAATTCATGCGAAAACCAATTTAACTCGATATACAACATAATAGTTCGAAATTATATAGTAACAGTAATAGATAAATAAATATTAGAGAAGCCAAGAGTATTTTATATGATACGGTGTGTTAATTATACAAAAAAAAAGTGTTAGACACCTCAAATATATTAATTACACAAAAAATTTATAGCTTATGTTCTGAGGTTGTGTATATATACTGTATACTCAAACAATTAAATATAAAGAGATTTGAAAAACAAATCTTGACGCGTAACAATTATCCTAAAACATACATAATAGTGTGTTTTGAAATCTTTAATGTGATGGCCTAGGATCTCTTGTTTCTTTAATTTTGTTTATCATCATCAACCAGCGTATTAAAATTCTTTTTGAGCATGTATCGTGTAAAATTCTTTTAAAAAACTGCGGGTAAAATCCGAGTTTTTGAAAAGAAATTTTAAATGCAATCGAGTCAGGTGAACCCCGCCTTTTGGAAGTGAAGTCATAAATGGAATTAGAAAACATTAAGGCTCTAATTGAAGCTAAGGTTTCAATACCTTTTATATTAGTCTTTATTATTGTTCTTTAATGTTATGTACATGTATATGTATGTAACTCTGCTGATTGTGGACAGGAACACGAGTAAATAATCTATCATGGAGAAAAATTAACAGATCCTAAAAACTCTTGAACAATATAAAATTATCCAATATGATATATTATTGCTTAGAAAACGAAATACAGGAACTCGACCAACTGTTAGCACGTAACAATATTTGATATAAACCATTATTGGGTTAAAAAATAAAAATCATACTGTTATTCTAGTATTTCACTAGAAACAGAATTAGTTTGTCAAATAATGCTAAATCAGCATCAAATGATACAACAATTGCTTCAAAGTAATATTTTATCAATTAGAGATGTTAAAACATTTCTGTTGATTATTTAATTGGATATTGTTAGACTCGACCAGAATTAGCTAATGCTTGCTTTAATTAGAATATTCTTAATGCAGATCCTTTTGGCATTCAACGAAGGATTGAAGAATAGAAAATGTTATGTTGAATTTTAAGATAGCCTTAGAATATAATCCAGAATCCTTTGGTCAAACGAATTCCAATAAATTAAAGGCTACGTATTATATATATACATATATTTATTAAAAATCAGGCAACTATGTTGTGTATTGTTGTTGAGGTAAACGGACATCCTGTCAAGGCTTTTGTTGATTCTGAAGCTCAAGAAACTATAAGAGGTGTAAATGAGGAAGCACAAATTTTGGCATTTTATTGAATTTCATTGATGGGTAAGAATTAAAATTATATTTATATATATGCTCATTTATAAATTTTTTATTTTTATTTGTAATTAAAATTTCTTGGTGACATTAGAATCTTGAAATATGATTTTCAGGAGTTGCTAAAGGTGTTTCATAGCAAGAGTTTTAGGACGTGTCCATACTGCCAAAATACGTGTTGGAAATGGCATATTTCTACTGTATTCATTCACAATCATGGAGATTTTTGTATATTTAAATTTGAATTGGATGGATGAATTGATGGATGAATTGATGGGTAATTAATAATAGTTATTATTTTATTTATTTTAAATTTGGGCATATGGTGTAGACTTGCTATTAATTGAAAGACATCGGGCCTTAAAACTCTTATCATCAATGGAGAAATGATTACATTTTTACCAGAGTGTGAGTTTCCAGAACATGCACAGATAAATCCTCCTGGTACTAACAGTTCTCAACTTTATTAAATTCATCATCATCATTGGCTTCCACATCAAATGTTATACCTCCTAGTCAACCATCTAATACTAACGCATCTACTCCAGGCAAGTAAAAAATTAAAAATGAAGTGAAGTGAAAAATATACAATTATTTCATTTAATGCGTTTGATTTAATCATTTAACTATGAAATTTGCCTAGCATTATTAACATCATCATCACAGAGTCAAACTTATTTATCTCAAGGAACATATTGAACAGATAACGTCAATGGGTACAATAAAGCTATCAAATCATTAGAAGTCATCCTTAATTTATTATTTGAATAATATAAAAAGGTTTTTTTGTGTAATTCCAATTTGGTATTTGTGAAAAAATTTTCCTATTTAGGGATGGACAATAGAAACAAGGTAAATGTCTACTGTAGTACTATTGTCCACACCCCATTTATGGACTAAAAAAAAAATTTCAACTCACTTTATATTTAACTATATTTATGTTATTCATTTATTTATTTAAAGAAAATATTATAGTTTACACACAAATTTTTCCACTAGGATCTAGTCGACTTGTGCGCCGTAACCTCTAATTCCTTCTGCATATTTCCAATCCGTCGCAACAGAATAAGGTTGAGTTATTTCAAAACCTTGTTCTGTTATTTTTGCACGTTGAAACTAAAACAGCAATTATTATAATGATAAATATAGTGATTATGAATCATCAAACCCCCAAAATAAAAGCCATTTCAACGAATAAAGAAATAAACAAACTTTATTTAAACTACGAGTATCCCTATAATATAATACTTTCATACAATTGTCTATAGCTGTAATTGCCTCCTCTTCTGTAAGTGTATCTTCACGACCTTCAACAGCATTACGAAGGATAGGTTGTACCAAATGAGCTCCAAAACCCGTTGAGATTGTTGTTGCTTTAAATGTTGTTCCAAGTAAATCAGTATGTCCAAGAAATCTGTGTTTTTTTTTAAAAAATATGTGTATTTGAATCATAATATACAAAATAAATAAATAAATAATTTATTGAAAATAAATATTGTAAACGAACTTTTCTCCTTTGTGATATCCTCCCACTATAAATGAATTCCAAAGTGGATTGAATTGTGATCTTCTATTGTACATTACTTTACTTAAGAATTCATAAATATGAGGTGCAGAAAGAGTGTGGCTATCATTTGTATAATATTCTTCTATCCTGTAAAAGTAATAAGATCAATAATAAGATAATATATGTTTTGATTTCTTTATTGTTTTTATATAAATATATATATAAATTTATTTATTTATTTACATTACTGTATTTAATAAATGTTGAACATATTGAAAATCTGAAATATCCCCTGATGCGCCAATCATTGTGTAGTCACCAATTGGACAAATTCGCTGTAAAACGATAATAATCAAGATCACTTTAATAATAATGAAAGATCAAAGTATTTTATATATTAAAGTTAAAATAATTGCAAACCTCAACATCCTTGAAACGTGCAAGGTTGCCATAAGAAGCTTAAATAAAAAAATTTTAATCAACATTAATGAAATAATAATTTCTTATATTCAAAAACTAATTGATAAAATAATACACATACCCAAATTATCAGCTGCCATCATAACACCATCTCGATACTCTAATGCAATAACTGAACTACCGGTAACAATTGGTGTCCTGTTCTCATTATCAAACAAAAAAGTAATTTATGTTAAAGTAAATACTATCTATCATTATTTTTATAACCTATAAAATATATTGTATGAGTATATAAAAATTATTTCATACAAAGTATGCGAAATTGGACCAGAGAGTACTTGGTTTTCACTAGAGAGCAAATCGCCTCCTGATAACAAATAATTGTCCATTTTTTTAAAAAATTATTTTTAAAAAATTATTTTAGTTTGATAACGTTACGTTACACATTTTTATTGCAATTACGTCATATATTAATCTCGAATAAATTGGTGGACTGATTTTTTATGCTTGCAGTTGTCGTTGTTTATCAACGGTTTCAAAAGAAGGGTTTGTTGAGTTATGTGAAATCTTCAAACTCTTTCCAAGTCTGAACAAGGTATCTTCTTAATGACCCAACTCAAAATGGATCAATAAGTACCAGCAAACGCCTCACTCGTGCCAATAAGCGAATTTTTTACATGGCAGTGTTTATTTCGAAAACATTAAAAATTATCTATTAAACAATGGTCTTATATCAAGAGTCCACAACAATAATAAAATGAATGCCTCAATGAAAAACAAAAATGGATTTTAACAAAAAAAGTTGTTACAACTGTGAAAAATTGAAAATCACGCTAAAGTCCATGGATTACAAAGACATTTAAATATATCATCATCATCACTTTTAATTTTTTACTTGCAAGAATCAACTATAAATTATTTTATCGAGATTTTCTTGTAGTCTTGAAGACAGCAATTGAATTCAATGAAGTATTTGGGTGGTCAGCCAATCTCAAATGATTAGAGAAAAAAGAAAGGATGAATAATGACATCAAATGTTTATTTTCTATGTTGGTAAAAAAATTCATTATTATACAAAATATAAGTTTGAAAATAATAATCTATTTAAAAATATTTCTAAATATTTGAAAATAATAAATAAACAATTTTAAAATTAATTAATTAAAAAATTGTACATGAACTATGTTCTTCACCATTTGGATAATTTAATTTTTCTATTTCCCCTATCATTAATTCAAAAATACGAGCTTTTTTACCAAAAAAAGATTAAAATTTAGAATAATTCAGAAATTTAATTTGCCATAAAATTCAAACATCAAAATGGTTAAAATACATACTTATATTCTCATTGTGCTTAGCGGATGCTTCTGTCCATGCACAATTCCATTGAATAGATAATTCTTTGCCTTCTTCTGGTGTCAATTTTCTAAAAAAGATATAATATATATATGAATGAGAGAGAACCACCATGTTAGCACGATAATAATAACATAATAATAATAAATAATAATAATAATAAATAATAATGAATAATAATAATAAATAATAATAATAATAATAAATAATAATAATAACCTTTGCATGTGTAAATCAGTTTTATTTCCTACAAGTACAATTGGAACAGATTCTTTTCCTGTGTGATTCAAGATTTTATCTCTAATAGTTCTCACCAACTCGAAACTTTTTTTAGAAGTTATCGAATACACTAAAATATAACCATCAGTTCCTACTCCATAAGTTGGATTGAAAAGTGAATGTTCTTCCTAGAATTATCATTAAAATTATTATTTGTTATGATATGAGAAATAAATTTTATTGATTTCTTTCTTTATCACCATTAATATTGCTATTATTATTATATTATTATTATAAAAAAATAGTTACTTGACCAGCAGTATCAATAATTTCTGCTGCTATTTCCTGTCCATGATATCTTATGACTTTGTTGAAAGTATTCTCAATTGTTGGATAATAAGAGTCAACAAAATGATTTTCTACGAATTGGATTGTCAATGAAGACTTTCCCACGGCAGTATCTCCTAATACTGCAATTGTTCTTTGCAATGGTCTCATTTTTATGTTATAATAAATTATGAATTATATAAAAATTTTTAATAATAAAATATAATAATAAAATAGAAAGATTTTCTGACAAGATTACCTTTCCAAAACTCTGGGCATTTAACAAGTCACGTGATTCTTTTCATTATCACTTGGTAGGACCCCGGAAACTACATAGATAGGTTACATTATTTTTGGGTAAATCAATATGTAAAAAAATCGAAAGGTCAGAGAAAATTCTGGGTAAATTAATATATATGGTTTAAAGGGTCATGACTTTTGTAGGGCAAAGAAAAAAATAATTATGCTAGAAAATGGGTAAAATTAAATATAAATATTTCAAATATTTTTATGTTGGTTCCATTTGGGTAAATTATTTAGGGGATAAATTTTAAAATTACACAAATTTTTTTAAAAAAAAAAAGTTAATATTAACAGGGTTGTGAAATTTCGCTGTACGAGAAGAATCTTCGTACGTACGTACATACGTACATACGTACGACTGACTTCGTACCATTGAGTTCGTACAGTTTTGTTGCGGCCGTACACCTGTACGAGGAAATTTTACATATGTACGTACGTACGAATGTACGAATGTACGATTTATCAGAAACGATTATTTTCTGCAGTGATAAAATATCACACCGTAAAATCTTATAACAATATCATTACAATTAACGGATTACTATTACCAGATGTTGTAACACTTGATTATCAA